TTCTAATTTATTGGAGTATAAGGATTCAAAATAATTTTTGATTATCTTCTGTATATCTGAAGTGTCTGTTGTGATATTGCCTTTTTCATCCCGTATGCTAGTAATTTGAGTTCTCTCTCTTCTTCTCTTTGCTAGCATGGCTAAGGGTCTGTCGATTTTGTTTATTTTTTCAAAGAACCAACTTTTAGTTTTGTCAATTTTTTCAATTGTTTCTTTTGTTTCGATTTCATTAATTTCAGCTCTGATTTTAATTATTTCTTGCCTTCTACTTCTTTTGCTGTTGTTTTGCTCTTCTTTTTCTAGGATTTTGAGATGAAGTATGAGATCATTTATTTGTTGGTTTTTTCTTTTTTTAAGGAATGAACTCCAAGCAATGAATTTTCCTCTTAGAACTGCTTTCAATGTGTCCCATAGATTCCGATATGTTGTGTCTGTGTTTTCATTAATCTCTAAGAATTTTTTAATTTCCTCCTTGATGTCTTCTATAACCCATTGATCATTCAGTAACCTATTGTTCATTCTCCAAGTGATGTATTCTTTTTCCTTCCTTCTTTTATCGTTGATTTTCAGTTCCATTCCATTATGATCAGATAAGATGCATGGTATTATCTCTACTCCTTTATATTGTCTAAGAGTTGCCCTGTGACATAATATATGATCTATTTTTGAGAAGGATCCATGTGCTGCTGAGAAAAAGGTGTAACTGCTTGATGTTGGGTGGTATATTCTATATATGTCAATTAAGTCTAGGTTATTAATTGTGTTATTGAGTTCTATAGTTTCCTTATTCAACTTTTGTTTGGAAGATCTGTCCAGTGGCGAGAGAGGTGTGTTGAAGTCTCCCATGATTATGGTGTGGTGGTCTATTAGACTCTTGAACTTGAGAAGAGTTTGTTTGATGAACAAAGCTGCACCACTGTTTGGGGCATATATATTTATGATTGTTATGTCTTGTTGGTGTATGGTTCCCTTAAGCAGTATGTAGTGTCCCTCTTTATCCCTTTTGATTAACTTTGGCTTGAAATCTATTTTATTTGATATGAGTATGGACACTCCTGCTTGTTTCCGAAGTCCATATGAGTGATGTGATTTTTCCCAACCTTTCACCTTCAGCCTATGTATGTCTTTTCCTATCAAATGAGTCTCCTGTAGGCAGCATATTGTTGGGTCTTGTTTTGTGATCCATTCTACTAGCCTGTGTCTCTTGACTGGTGAGTTTAAGCCATTAACATTTAGGGTTATTATTGAGATATGGGTTGTTCTTCCAGCCATATTTGTTTATTTATGTTACTAAACATGGTTTGTTTTCCTCTTTGATTATTTTTCCCCCCTTTACTGTCCTACCTCCCACTGTTGGTTTTCATTGTTATTTTCCATTTCCTCTTCCTGTAATGTTTTGCCAAGGATGTTTTGAAGAGATGGTTTTCTAGCTGCAAATTCTTTTAACTTTTGTTTATCGTGGAAGGTTTTAATTTCATCTTCCATCCTGAAGCTTAATTTCGCTGGAAACACAATTCTTGGTTGGAACCCATTTTCTTTCAGTGTTTGAAATATGTTATTCCAGGATCTTCTAGCTTTCAGAGTCTGTGTTGAAAGATCAGCTGTTATCCTGATTGGCTTACCCCTAAATGTGATCTGCTTCCTTTCTCTTGTAGCTTTTAAAATTCTCTCCTTATTCTGTATGTTGGGCATCTTCATTATAATGTGTCTAGGTGTGGGTCTCTTATGATTTTGCACATTCGGCGTCCTGTAGGCTTCTAGGATTTGGGATTCTGTCTCATTCTTCAAGTCTGGGAAGTTTTCTTGTATTATTTCATTGAATAGATTGCTCATTCCTTTGGTTTGAAACTCTGTCCCTTCCTGTATCCCAATGACTCTTAAATTTGGTCTCTTGATGTTATCCCATATTTCTTGGATGTTCTGCTCATGGTTTCTTAACAGTCTTGCTGAGCTGTCTATGTTCTTTTCAAGTTGAAATACTTTATCTTCATTGTCTGATGTTCTATCTTCTAAGTGTTCTACTCTGCTGGTAGTATTCTCAATTGAGTTTTTAAGTTGGTTTATTGCTTCCTGCATTTCTAGGATTTCTGTTTGTTTGTTTTTTATAACCTCTATCTCCCTGTATAGTTGATCTTTTGCTTCTTGGATTTGTTTATGTAATTCATTGTTGAAGTGATCTTTCATTGTCTGATTTTGCTGTCTGATGTCTTCCTTGAGACTCCAGATCATCTGAAGCATGTATATCCTGAATTCTTTATCTGACATTCCATCTGCTGCAGCTATTACCTCTTCTAACGTTGAGTTGACCTGCATTGCTTGTGGTCCTTTCTTTCCTTGTCTTTTCATACTGTTCACGTTCCTTGCTACTTGGTGAAACTGTTGTGCTATTGAATTTTCCCCCTATATATTTATATTGGTCTTGTATAGTTGCAAAGTCTCACTCGCAGGCGCAGGCGGCGGCTCTGCCCCTCCTCCAATTGGGGCAATGTGCCTACCACGCCGGCAGGCCGCTGGGCCTGCTTTGCCGGTCGGTAGCAGGTCCGCCTACCTTACAGGCGCGGGCGGCGGCTCTGTCCCTCTGCGGGAGGCTAGGCTTATTCTGTCGGTGGTCGCAGTTCTGCCTACTTTGCAGGCGCAGGCAGCGGCACTGCCCCTTTGCAGGCCTCTGGTCGCAGGTCCGCCTACCTTGCAGGCGTGGGGCGGGGGGGGGGGCTCTACCCTTCCTCAGGCCACTGGGCCTGTTCTGTCTCTCGGTTGCAGGTCTGGCCTGTTCTGATGGTGGTCACAGTTCCGTCTACCTTGCAGGCGCTGGGGGGAGGGGGCGGCTCTGCCTCTCAGCAGGCCGCTGCTCCTCTTCTGCCGGTGGGTCGCAGGCCCGCCTACCTTGCAGGAGTGATTGGAAGCTCTGCCACTCCGCGGGCCACTGGGCCTTTTCTGTCAGTGGTCACAGTTCCGCCTACCTGGCAGGCGCGGGGGGTGGGGGGCGGCTCTGCCCCTCAGCAGGCCGCTGGGCCTGCTCTGTGGGTGGTCACAGTTCCCTCTACCTTGCCGGCGCAGGGGGAGGGGGCGGCTCTGCCTCTCAGCAGGCCGCTGCTCCTCTTCTGCGGGTGGGTCGCAGGCCCGCCTACCTTGCAGGAGTGATTGGAAGCTCTGTCCCGCCACGGGCCACTGGGCCTTTTTTCTCAATAGTGATCTTTACTGAACATACTTTAAAACTTAAAATTGTCCTCTCCCCATCTTTTGGATGTCTATACTTTTGACATCATTAAAAAAAAAAAAAAAAAAAAACTTGCCAAATGTAAGGCCATAAAGATATATAGCTATATTTTCTTCTGAAAGTTTTAGTCTCAGTGCTTATATTTAGAACTGTCATCTATTTTGACTTCATTTTTTAATACAATGTAACATGGGGTAGATTTACAGTTGTTCCAACTCCATTTGCCAAATAGATTATTCTTTCCCCACTGAATGCTCCTAAAAACCCTGTTAAAACAAACAAACAAAAACAAACAAAATAACAAAAACAAATTAAGCATAGCATAGATGCATGGGTTTATTTCTAAACTCTAAATTTTATTCTACTGAACTACAGATGGTCCCCAACTTTCAACAGCTAAACTTATGATTTTTCAACTTTAAGACAGTAGGAAAGTGGTTATGTATTCAGTAAAAACTGTACTTCAAAATTTGGAATTTTGATTTTTTTCCCCTCTTTGTCAATGTTGTATAAGAACAGTGAGCTGCAGCTCCCAGTCAGCCACATGATTCTGAGAGGAGAGTGAACAACCAATATTCTACAGCACACTGTGTTGCTAACTAAGTCCTGATGCTCTGTAGGTTAGGTGTATGAAATGAATTTTTTACTTAATGATATTTTCAACTTACATTAGTCTTATCAGGACGTGGTCCTACGGTAAGTTGAAGAGCATCTTTATGTGTCCATCCTCATGCTAGTATGACACTTTTAATTATGGTGGCATTGTAACAGGTTTTTAAGTTTTAAAACCTATTAAGCAGTCCTCTGTTATTTCTATACAAATTTTAGGGTCAGCTTTGCCATTTCTGAAAGAAAAAAAGGTAGATGGAATTTTCATAGGGATTATGTTGCATCTATAGATCAATTTGGTGTGTACTGGCATCTTAAGTCTTCTAATGCATATTACTTAGGCATTTTCCATTTACTTAGGTCATCCTTGATTTAATAAGGTTATACTTATGACACATCAAAATAGTCCAAAATGCAAACTATGACCTATGTAGCAAATCTAAGTATTACCCTTGTGATTATAAGTGATTATTACCACTTATAATCTTTTATTTTGACTTTGTTCTCAAATCTTATCATATACCACATTTGCCTGCTTGTCTTTGACTAGTTATCTCAGATTTGCCATACACACACACACACACACACACACACATATATATATATATATATATATATTTTTTTTTGGATAAAGATTCAGGGATACTTAACAACTGAATCACATTCCTAGTCTTTTTAAATTTTTAGACAGTATCTTTCTAAATTGCTGAGACTGGCTTTAACTTGTGATCCTTCTGCCTCTGCCTTCTGAGCTGTTCGGATTATAGGCATGCGCTCCAATATTCAGCTGTTATATATATGTGACACACACACACACACTCTTAAATTTTTTTTAGTTGTAGATGGACACAATACCTTTATTTGTTTTTGTTTGTTTTTTTAATGTAGTGCCGGGGATCAAACCCAGTGCCTTACACAGGCTAGGCAAGCACTCTACTAACTTAGCCACGACCCCAGCCCTTGCCCTATATTTTTATTAATACCTTTTCCAAAAATAGATTAATAAGATATACAAAAGTATGGCAAAGAATGCTGCTCTAGAAATAGTTCAATATTGTACTTGAGAAAACCAGATTAAAAGAAAAATACATTTTTTTTTCTTAGAAAAAAAAGGAATTCACTAATGGTATCAATTGTTTTTCATAGAACAAATAAAATATGTAAAAATTTAAGCTTTGGATTTGTATTATGCTTTATTTTTCACATATATCACGTATATTTATTGTAGAGAAAATAATACAATTATATACTTTCACCAAAATGGATGATGTAATTCTTTTGCTCCAAAATAATTCATATTGGTTTGAACACCAGATAAATTTGTCTTTGGTTATATTTAGGACCCACACTATATGACAAATGCTATCTTTAAATACTAGACTAACATGTAGCTCAGGATACCTACACATCTAAAACTCAGCAAAGTGATGAGCTCTACTTTGAATTCCATCCAGGGTATTCAGAGTAGACTCCAACCTATTTAAATTACTTTCTTTGTTCTCCCTTTTAGCTGAGTATATATTTAAAATGACATTAAAAAGTATATAACCATTTATGTGCTATGTGTGAAAGTAAAGCAGAAATGAGACTATTGCTATATATACCAGCAGCACAATCCACTGTTATTTTCCTCTTTCTCAACACCCATTTAGAATAGTTATTTTGGGAACAAACGTTCAACAAAACTATTTAGTCTACATACTCACATTAATAACAAGAATGCAAAGAAATCTTCAGGTAAAGATGCATTTACTATAATTAATGATAGTTTTAACAAAATTTGGTGTTAATATAGAATTAGTCTTTTTAAAACTATCCTTAAACCTTTCATATTACTTTTTCCCATAGATTTTATGTTCCAGAATAAAGAAGAAATTGCAGAGATGGAGAGGTAGTTAACAAAGAAGAGAATAACTTTATCCAGAAAGAAGATGCATACAATACTAACAAAGGTCAATGTCTAGTTACTTCCATACAATTGAAAATGGAAAAAAATTACTGGGACATATACAATCTTATGGTACAAAGAAATCTGTAACTCAGAAATTTCAAAGATAAATAGACGGAAAAACAAAACAACTTTCAGTATTTTAGGGAAGTGATATTTTGCTAACACAACCAAGGAAGACAATCAGGAGAGCAGTGTCTGCACTTGCTGGGGCGACCGGTGCAGAATACTCTCTGGATCTTTGTATTCATTGACTGGATTCATCACGGCTGCATACACTTCACCATAGGCTCTGCAGATCAATTCTGTAGACTGTTTTATAATTTGCTCTCTGTGGATAAGCAAACAAAGCATGAACACATGATCACTAGGAATTATACAGAAACTTCCTATTTGAATCAACGCATTTCCACATTTACCAAACCTCCACTACTACTTAAAAATCATTGCACAACTACAGGTTATTTTCTTGGTTTGGGGATAAAAGATATTTTAAAATATTTACCATTTATTAAAGTCTTTCTCATTGCTATGTAGGTTCCAGAGGGCAGGGACTGTGTTTTATTCAGTGCTCTATCTTTAGGGATATAACAGTGTCAGGCTATACTGATGCTTCTCTGTTTATGACCATATTACACTCAATAAACCTACTGTGAATTGAAAATATCATTTATCAAAAATGCACTTAAGGTAGGATGACCTATTGAACCTCCTATCTTAAACATGCTCAGAACACTTAATATCAGCCTGCAGCTGGAGCCAAATCATCTCACACAGGCCTATTCTATAATATAGTACTGAATATTTCAAGCAATGTACACTACACTATAGCGGACAACTGTATTCAGCTGTTTACTCTCACAATCACGAGGCTGACTGGGAGCCGCAGCTCACTGCTGCACAAAATCATGATTATACTACAGCGCATGTTGCTTGTCTAGGAAAAGATCAAACTTCAAAACTTCTACTGAAAATGTAACACTTTTTGCAACAACATGAAGTTGAAAAATCCTAAGTCAAACCATTATAAGTCAAGGGCCATCTTAGTAGACAGTTAAACAAGAAATGAATTGTGACCTCCATCAATGTATTGATTTTGCAAAAGTGACTACTAATACATTAACCTTAAAGAAATAAGTTTGTAATTACTTATCAAAGCTTTTGTCTCAGAAAAACTGACAGTAAACTGACGTTTCACCTGGAGGCCCTACGCTGAGACCACATCTCCTAGGCTCCTCCACAGCTCTGGATATCATCACCAGGCTAACCATGACACTTGCCTGGAACCAACTGCAGCATTCTCACACGGCTCTAAAAAAGCACCTGGAAGAACAACAGATGCAGCCTTGCAATGTTTTTAAAAATCATCATGCTAGAGAAGAGCACTGGGTTTTTTTTTTTTTTTTTTTATTTCTCGGCGGACAGAACATCTTTGTTTGTATGTGGTGCTGAGGATCGAACCCGGGCCGCACGCATGCCAGGCGAGCGCGCTACCACTTGAGCCACATCCCCAGCCCCGAGCACTGGGTTTTCTAAATCTGCAATCACCTCCCTCCATATTGTTGTGACACCTTCTTTTTTCCCCAGCTGCTTGAACTATTCATGCATCACTATTCCTGGTCCTGAGAATGCCAATCTCTATATCCCGATTTTTACAAAAACTACATAAAAATATGCTTTTCAAGCTTTACAACTACTTTTCTTATAAATGTTTCCTATTTCTGTTAATGGTATCACTGAGTCCTATCATCTCTTGCTTAGAGGACTAAGAACACTCTTACTTGGTCTTCCCCTTTCCCGTCTTTCGAATACTCAGTCCTTTGTAAGCACTGCTGTTAGATACACCTTTCTGAAGCAGACTTTTAATCAAGTCTCTCCTTTACCCGCTGTCTTTGAGGAGCTTTGGTGGCTTCAGAGAAATCAACATTCCTCCCTCAAGTACTTTCTGGATCACTTCTCTCAGTTGGAGTCCAATGCAGCTCCTCACTGCTCTCTTTGCCCTGAGCTTGGGGACTTCATTTCTTGTACTCACTCCTCCATTTGCCTGATATACATTTGATAACCATTTTGCCTCCAACTACTTTAAATGTCCTAATGTTCTGTAAAAATGTACTCTCATCCATGAAGTCTCTGATCTGCAGAGCTAGAAACAATCATTTCCTTTTTGAAACATCCATGGCACTTTCTTTGTTCCTCTTACGGCATTTACCACTCCTTAAACTTTAAGGTTCTACATTTTCTTAATTCTCATATCCTAATAGCTTTATGCTGAGGGAGGGGAGAGTTCCACATCAAATCTATATACCAACTGCAAAAGAGCTCAATCTTAAAATGTCAAAATGTACTTTTAAAAACATCTGAAACTACACAAATATAAGATATTCATACCTCAGCTATCCTGCAAAACTTCAAGTAACTGGATATTGTTCATATTCTTATGTTCCCTAAAAACCCAGGATACTGTAATTGCTCATTGAATGACTGAAGGAGAAAAATAACTTTTCATGAATTTAAGTAGCCCTATTTCTGGGTTGTTGAGCCATCATTCTTTTTCATAAATACTGGGTTAATGGCTATTTCAGGCCAAGCTTTCTCTCCACATAGTCGAGTATACTGTGTGATCAGACTAACGTAACAGTGATGGTGGTAATAACAAATTGTGTTGTCATACAAGTCAATGCCAAGAAATCACAATCAACAAAACATATTCTTTAAGTTGTTTTCCTGGGAACTATATTCTTTTTGATAATAATAGACCAAATAATATATTTGATGGCTATCTGTGGAAATATATATTCATGGCCTAGGACATAAATGGATGGGTGGAATGGGGAGGGAAGTTCACCTATGATCTTGGATCATCAGTACCTCATTCTGATGAGATCCTATATCCTTAGCAACTAACATTTTATTTAAAACTAAAGCAACTTGACATTTTCCATATATTGCTGAAGCTTCCAAAATTAGAGTAGGTAGAAAAAAGATGCACTTAGTAAGTTCTCTGAGAAAAGTGGACTGATATTAGGGTCTGTGCCACCTTTCTGCTAGAGGGGATAAAGGTAGAATCTGGTTTGGAACTCTACTTAACCAGATGAGACTCCAAGATGTTTTGTGATCTACTGACTGCAGATCTTTCATATAATTAACTGAACTAACAATGAATGCAACAAATGATGCAAGATAGTTCTAATAAATTAATAGTTGAAAAATACTCTAAACTGGTTTTGAAACAACTGTCAGATATAATATACATTTGATAACCATTTTGTAACAAGGCAGATACTCAATTTTAGAAAAACTGTTTTTAGTTCTTTACTCGATTTTAGAAAAACTGTTTTTAGTTCTTTACTTAGAGCAATATGACAGATTTGAGGGGCTGTCATGGCATTCATTACACCTCATAATTGAAAAATCTATACTTAATCTGAATACAGGGTATATTTGCTAGTATATAAACATACAGAAATAAGGCTGTTGTTTTTCTATTGGTGCATGTTAATTATACAGAATAGTGGCTTTCATTGTGGTATATCTGTACATGCTCATAACATAGTTTGATCAACTGGATTCCCCAACACATCTCCTTACTCTCCATTCCCCTTCTTCATTGAAGACATGAAGATAGGCCCCCCACCTCCAGCTTCCATATATGAGAGAAGACATGTGACACTGGTCTGGCTTGCTGCACTTAACATGATGATCTTCAGTACTATCTATTTGTTTCTGCAAATGTTCTAATTTCATTCTTTTTTATGACTGAATAATACTCATTTGTATATATTGATATACATTTTCTTTATTTCTTTTTAATTGAAGTTAAAAATCAGAATAAGGTATGACTATTAAATAAACTTTAAAAATTGAGACAAACTGATAAATTAGAATTATTGAAAACTCTGCTGTAAATTTTAAATTTTATTTTCTAATCCTAATAATGAAAAAATTTACATATATTAATTCAGTTATAACTTAAAGCACATTTCTGTTTCTAAGATAAATTAGCTAAAAATGTCAACAATTCACAATGTAGCTGAAAAACCATAAGTTTGCAATACAGAAAAACAGAATAAAGCAATATTGCTAAAACAAAGATAAATAAGACCACACCAATAAAACCAAGCAAGACTTTTTAAATGTTGTATTTGGTGGAATAGGGCTTCTTCAGTCTATATATAGTAAAGAGACTAAAAATGAACACAGATATGCTGTGGAAGGTGAAAAGTTAGCAAAGCTGGTGAAGAAAAGAAGTCTTTCATGAAGTAGGGAAAAAAAAGGGAAGCAAAAGAAACTTCCCTCTGCCCAGTCAGCTTGCTAAAGCCAACCAGATAGAGACAAGAGGGAAAGGGAGATTCTCTGAAGTGAATCCACGTCAAATTCAAAGTGTAAAGAGCAAGAGCTCTGACTGATAGTGTGATTCCACAGTTCTGAACAAAACAGGGTTCATTCATCACCCCCAAAGTCAGGGAGAGGTCCATCTAACACAGTGCAACAGAATGGCACAGTGAAGGAACTGCTGTCAGAAGACTCAGGTGAAGCTCCGCCACTATTGTTGCCTTTAACTTCCAGGATTAATCCCTCTACTGTGAAGTACTAACTAGACAATATTATAAGACACTTTCAGCTTTTAAATTATACTATTCAATTGAAAAATAAGAGCATTTTAATGAACTCCTGTTTAAAAAGAAATTTCTATGTGTCTATTTACCTCCACATGTACAGACATTATTTTGAGGGATTGGGTTTGCTAAATGATGATATGATAGGTAGGTAGGTAGGTAGGTAGACAAATGACCGATAGATGCTTACATATACTTTTAAGATAAAGGATAAACTACATTATAATTACTTCTAAAAATAAAAAGGAAGAAATAGTAAACTATAAAATAAAAAATAGAGAATAAAACCATTTTAGAATTACAGAAACATACTTTTATATATGAGTAACTGATATTTTAAATTTTCAAAAGTTATACTTGTCCTGGATAGATTATTAAACCATCCAGAGACACCAATAGAGCACCATTTAATAAATTAATCCATCATATTGTCTGCTTTCCTTCCTTGGACCAAATTATTTTTCTAATCACTAATATCATATATGAAATACAGGGTTTCAAATAATGGTGTCAATATAGTGACAGATAATTAATTATCAAAAATGGAAAGGATTTAGGTATTCTGTAACTAAATCTAAAACAACCAAATCATCAACGGTGCAGACACATACTTCTGGAAACTTGGAACATCCTTATCTACTGATCTCTATAGGAAATGCAATTTTCTTATCAGCAGAGTATGCAGGCACTGATTCTAACAGAGATATAATCCACC